TCTCGGCGATTTCACCGAGACGATGTTTCAGCTGGGTGGAAAACACCGCTCCCCCGATGGTGTGTATTCGGTCGAGCTAAAGTGGGCTCCTGCTTCTGCTCCGCACTCTGTGACTCGTGCGAGACCAACCGCAGGACCTGATCTAACTGCCACGAAACACCATTTGTTAATGAAAGAATGGTTGAATGAGGAACGCTTCGTAGCATCAACAACCAGAAACGATTACCTGAGAAAACTCCGCCGAGAAGCGGCCCATCAATCGAGGCAATTGCGTAGACACATCCGAAGACGCTCATGACTGACGGTCTTTGCCGAATGCTTGTAACCTGAGAAATATCATCAGTTACCGTCTACGAAGTGAAAAACTGAGCAGGGAACAAACCTTGGCTATAATGTACATCATTGAGACCATGAGACCAGAGGCGCCAACACCAGCAAACACTCTTCCGAATATCAAGACATTCACGTTCGGAGAAACAGCACAGAGCAGGCTGCCAACTTCGAAAATGCCGATGGTCACCAGGAGCATGGTTTTGCCTGAGAAGATCTAGGGTTAGCGCCAAAAAAAGAGCATGAGACCGGCCTGTGAGAGTTGTGAGCGAGAAGAGCGTAGCTCGACGATGAGGCGCTGCGTGTCTGGGAAAGAAAGTAGGTGCTGACGATCCATGACCGATCCGTCAAGGCTCAAGCCTAGCGGTCATGAATCGCGGCACTCAACGTGAAAACCACCTGCTTGACGGTCTGCCCCTGAACGTCACTCTGCGAGACCTTGGCAGCGGTAGTATCTTCAACGTCTTTCTTCGTCATCAGCTTGCGTTTGGGTCGACAAATGGGGGAGCAGTAAAACGATTTGGATGAAGTCGAGTCAACGGGGTGAGAGCTGCGACAATGGGCTGCGCGCTTCTCTCTGACATCGTGGAGTCTCTACGACAACGTTCCGGCCTAACGGGGATTCGAGAAGGCTTTCAGACGCTGTGACTCATCTTGAGCGGGGACATATCTTGATCAAAGATCGGGAAAGTAACAAAGGGCGAGAAGGGTAACGAGGGCGACGCAGAAGGACTTGGGGTTCAGCGACACCCGTTTCAAGCACATGAGAAGTAAAATTTTGCATCGTCTTCATCAGCCGTCGTTTTCAGGCTAGGAGGTTAAGTTCCGAAAGTTGAGCGATCCATCATCATGGAGGGGTCACGTCAGCATCTGTTTTGATCTCTCCCCGCTCCGTCACCACAGCCTTGTGGATTCAAATTCTGGATTCGTGCGACGAACGAGCCTTAGAAGACCCTTTGATTTCTTTCCGCCTCCGATCGATTCCAATTCGATCTGGTCGCGTAAGTCGCGTTTCGCAAACAGTGTCGCTCTTACCCACGGCAGCTTTTTAGGCACACCGGCGGGGACCTGGGCTCACTGCTTCACTCCCGTGGAAGCAACGATGGATTTCCATTTCTCTGCGCTCTATCCAGGAGACAGGTTCGCCACCGCGTCGGCCAGGCACGAGCAGTATCTGTTCGCTTAGTTGCTGCTTTGACCCGACATGCGCGTTCTTGCAGTGGGATGCGGCTCCGGACGGGCATGAATTGAGTTGTTGCAGCACGAGCAAGTTTACCTAGGCGGGATCGAAGAAGACGAGCACAATGTAACAAGCCCATCCTCTTAGCGCCTTCCTCGTCCGAACTCACCGTCTGCGCGAAGGTTCGCGTTCCTCAGGAGAGAGCTGCGAGGAGCGGATTCGGATCTCGAGTCGAGTTTGTCTATCGTGAGTGCTTCCCTTCAGTTCCTCCACGGCACTAAACTCGATCCTTCCAGTGAGTCCTCATGCCTGTGCAAACTATTTTGGGCCGGCGTCCTTCGACGCCGTTTTCAGCATTGAAGCTCTCAAGGTGAGTCGGGAGTAGATCTTGTGAGCTGTCTGACATGCATCCAGACGGCCTCATTCTACTATGATGTCTATGTCCCATTGGCCACCGTTCTAAAACTCGGCGGAATGGTATGTGTGCTCCAATCATCTCGCACGCGAGGATGGTGACCAGAACTCAGATGGGCCTTTACGAATGGTGCTGGACATCAAGTGCCGACCCGTTGTTTCTCGATCACGTCCGGCTCGCTGAACAACTTGAGCGCCAGACCCACATCAGTCATGGGCCGCTCGCTGATCGTGCATATCAAGCAGCTGCGGCTTCCGTGGAGCGGACTTAGATGATGAGCCTTTTCGAGACTGAAGATCTTGTTCAGCGCCGCTCCACGCTGTCTTGGTATGCACCGCTCCTTCGGGGATTAGCCAGGTCCTCCACTCGCTGGGCATCTGACGCGGACTGCAACGTAACGTTCGGGGCATTGACTCGTGGCGGGGCTGCAATCCTGGCCCGAGCTGGGCAGCTCAAAGTGAGTACTGCCTCGTTATCGGGTGTCAAGCTGTTTACGATTCCCCAGCTTTTCACACCAATGCTCCTTGTTGCGCAACGCGTTTGACTCGGCCCTGATAGTCATATTACCAAATCGACTGAATCTAGTTTTCCTTCGCTTCCATCACTCCGTCAGGTTTCATGTAGTCTTCCTTTGTGTACTAGCGTTTTTCTTGCCTTGAGACGGTGATAGTTCTTGAGCTCAAATATTTGGGTACAGTTGTAATATACATTAGTTGTGCGCGCTCCCATGTCTAATTCTTCATCGAGCCGCGTTCGAGGCTGCCCTCCAGCTGATCTTCTCTGAAATGAAGAAGACATGCACGGAGAACTACTCTCAGCGTCCGCAGTCCATGATGTAACACATGCACAGGCTGACTTGAGTCTCATCAATTGCATTCCTTCTCTTCGACATCATCTTCCGGATCAACAAGGAGGTCAGTCGAGTTATATGAGTAGTAGTAATAGTACATAGTGTAGGCTACACCCCTGTAGCCTTCCCTCTTGTTCAGGGCGCCCAAGGCCACCAAAAGATCTGGAAAAGTGCGCAAACCATTGCTAATTGTCCTAAATGAGATGCTGCACACCGGCGTCCCACTTCCGGCCAATGGTGCCCAGAACGAATTCCGCGGAGGGTCTGAAAACGATCACTTCCCAACAGCGTGTTTGATGGGATGGGGACGCACAGGGCAATTTACACAACATCCGTATTTTTATTACATGAGTCGTTAGCTGCATATTTGAGGACGTAGGATCCTGAATTTTATCTTTTTTGCATCAGTGGTACCTGCAGAATATCACCATCTTTCGGCGCACCCACCACTCTCAGAGGTCAGCTCGATATCTGGGTACGCAGGGGGTCTGCAGTTCATCAGAGACATCTAAAAGTTTTTCAAGAATCATAGAATACGTCTAGGGTTATTAGAGAGTGGTCTAGGGTCGATTCCCTAGGCCAGACCTAACCCCAGGGCTGGGTTACCCTGGGCCAGGGAAGCCCTTTAGGGTTACCCTAGCAGGGGGCACATGACTGGAAAGGTGTGGTGCCGGGTATCTTGGAGGTGACGATGTTATGCGTCGACGCAGCTCCTTCAGCCTGAGAGGGGCTGGGTACACGGTGTATTGGTGGTGACGACGTTCTGTCAGACTGTCTCAAAAATTAGCATTTGCACGAGACAAGTAAACCGAACTTTCCAACTTGTACCAAATGTGGTCCTACACCAAACAACTTTTGCTATGTACAGCCTGTGCACTGGTCCAATGCACCATGCCCATACCCGCAGTCTATGTATATTTCTCCTCCCAGATGTGATCCCGTTGCAAACGTGGATCCTGACCTCATTTCTCCACAAAATTTTATGAAAATTACATCCACATGTAGCTTAAGGTCCCCTGGACCCGGGATCCACATGGATCCATGTGTCTGAGGGGGTGGGGCTGCGCAGCAGCCCCACCAGGAAGGCATCTTTTTTGGCACCCTGGAAAACTGGTGCAATGATCAGAGGATGGATCCCAACCGCAGTTGACTCAACACTCACGATTTTTTTTGCGCATTCTCCCATGGACATATGTAAGATTTCACATGCCAAGTTTCATATTTATTCAACCAGCCGTTGTGGTGGAATATTGACATCTTCCTCCAGCACCATCAGAATCACTGATGCTGATTAGACGATGGATCCCAGAGGCAAACCTCCTCGAATCTATTTGCTCGTTTGAGAAATTATGTACTTAAACACATCTACTATGCATCTGTCCACACGAAACAGCTGTCCCTGCGTTGAGGAGGAATGGGGAGCCAGTGCAAGGCGAGGAGATGAGAAATGATGGGAGCTGTCAACAAAGTCTAGGAGAACGCAGCGAGAATCGTGGATCCCAGAGTCAACTCCTGGACAATGGAAAATCCTCGCCACTCAAATTGAAGGTCGGCATAAGCAGAACACTTCTGGCGACTCAAATTTGCTGCAAAGTGCGCCCAGATGCCAGATTCCATGCACAAGAACAGCTGACGGAGGGTGTGACGCCGTCATCACACCCTTGCACATCCTTGTTTCCTACGATGCACAACACGTCCGCGGCGGACTCAATGCACATGGAGCAATGATGGAACACGCGCAGACGATGTTTTCAAACGATCTGGAGTACTTGGGGGGCAGGAATGGGATGGGAAATGGGACGGGCATGACACCCAACATCAGCACATGTAGGCCTCCGTTTTCCGCTTCGCTCTGACCATGTCCTCTTGTTAGGGTCCTGTGCATTTCCTTTCGACCTCTATGTACACGCTAGTAACGCAAATCCCGTGCTTGGACCCACCGCTCCCGTCTCAGCACCACTTCCTTTCGGGCAACATCTCCAAAAGCCGACATAGTGAAACTTGACAAATCCAGGTCCAAACGCCTCCTTCTAACTCATTTACACCACCCTTTGTGTCACGCCAACAACGCGCGCATCATCGTTTGGGCGGAGAATACCCGAATCCGTGGCTTTGCGGCCTAGTTGGTCCAAGCAAAGGTGGGCATGGCTGGACGCCATCGCATTGCTTCAAGACCACAAACGCAGCTTACCTGTGCTCTATGGAACGCATACAACACGATCCATATGCTCACTGGATTCGCAGGGACCAAGAACGACATGCCCTTGGAGGTCTCCCTCTGGAGTGCACAGCAACCCCGACCAGCACCTTTGGACCGCTGTCAGCCGGATCCAGCACTCTCCCCCACGTTCATACCACATCCCAAACACCACGCGCATATGCACCAGGTCAACCGGAGACTTGTTCATTCCCACCGGCACCCATTCCCGCTGTGCAAGTATCCACCTCAGATTCATGAGATTGTAACTGATCGACGTTGCAGGATGCTATCATGCATTGAGTGGCTCTCAGTAACGGTCACAGGACGAGCCATCTCTTTGCTCTCGACCGAGTAAGTGATCCACGATCGTCGTTCCAATCGGCTGATGTGTCTCTAGTTTTGACCAGGAACTACTTATTGAATGCGACGACGAATACTGGGCCGCGTCTGGCCCTGACCAGTTCAAGCAGCCGGAGAACGAGCCATTGCGCATTACGTATTTTGCCCATTTGATCAAGCTCATGGACATCCAGGCGTCTATCACAAGGACGATCGTGCGTTCGTTCTGAAGTTTTTTTTTGTTCAGACATGTATATATTTTGCTAGTATGCTGCTCGCGCACCAAAAAAGCTGTATGGCCTGCCATTGCCGTCGTCAGACGCGAAAGCGCTGGCCACATTCGACCCTTATCTCAACGGGTGGATGTCCACAGTCCCTGTACATCGTGAGTAGGGTTAGGGTTAGGGTTAGGGTTAGGGTTAGGGTTAGGGTTAGGGTTAGGGTTAGGGTTAGGTTAGGGTTAGG